TCACATTCTTTGTTCTTGTAGAATATAAAAAAAAAAATGGGCTGTTTTAGCCATAATGGTGGTCACAAAGTCTACAGATACTTTGGTATTGCAGATGAAACTGCGGTTGCAAACCATTTTTTAAAACCTTACTTTAATATAATCCAAGGAAACCAGATTCACAATCATCCCTAATGGACGAAAGTAAATTGGAAGGGGATAAAGTGTATAAGAATCAGGCAAAACGTCCTGGACTTATGGTTTAGGAACTACCTTGGTACTACTTACCATTGTGCTATTATCTCTTTAACTCTTCTAAATTCTCAAAAGTTGTATAGGAAATGTAGCTGAGGTTGGAGAAACAAATAATGACCAGTTGTACAATTAGCTGCTGATGCTTAAACAACATCTATCGCCTATCATGATATACTTAAAATAAAATTGGTAAAATCAGTTTAAGGTCTCTCAATTTTTGGTCAAAATTGATTCTAGTCCCTGTACTTTAAAAACAAAGATTTTGGTTTTCATATTTTATATAATAATTGGTGAATTTCATCCCCCACCCTAGTGCCCTATGTTCCATAAAAAGGGATGAAATTCACAACGTATTTTATTTATAATTGGTAAATTTTGTTTCTCACCCTAATATCCTGAGCTCCATAAAGAGGGACGCAATTTACCTTTACCTATAAAAATTGATAACCTAGATTGCATTTTACCCAAATAGATAAAAGTCACGGAAGGAAGTGCATACCATCCTCTCCCTCTGTCTATTCTTCTCTGCTTTAACTGAAAACGTATCAATAGACACGCCTTGAGAAACATCACGCTCAATCTTCTTGCGCCAAACAAACCTACAAATAACATTTTTGTAGGTTTATAATCTATATACATCGGGCATATGAGCGACCACTACTTATCTGCAAGATTTATAATATTATGACACTAAAATAAGTTCAATCTAATCGCAGGATACGAAAAACAACGAGAATTAGGTAGGAACTCACTTCTCGTTGAGATTAGAGTCACCAAAGGGATTGGAATCGTTTGAATAACCAGATACCGTACTAGTTTTCAACTTTTTAGCGACTTTCATTGCCTGAAACAATGGAAAATGATTTAAGAAGTGAAATCAAGCGATGAAAGAGATGAGATGGGGAGAGGGAAACGAGTTTGATACCTTCGATTGGGCCTTTTTGGCCATGTACTGCGTAATTTCCTCATCTGTGATAGTCCTCGAGGACTTCTTCTTTTTATCGCCGTCGGAGTCCCGCCGAGAGCGGCGGGGACTGCTTCCGTGGCGCCTGTCGGAATCGGAATCGGAATCGGAGTCGGAGTCATGTGATTTTCTTCGTCTTCGGTCTCTTCCCATTCTCTGCAGAGAAAAATTGAAAAGAGGGAAACTCTGTTCGGCCTTCGTATTGGAAGTGGCTAGCTCAGTCGGCGTTGTTAATTGAAATGTATCACCCTCCCGCGGCGGGACCCCCGCCGAGAGCGGCGGGTACTGCTTCCGTGGCGCCTGTCGGAATCGGAATCGGAATCGGAGTCGGAGTCATGTGATTTTCTTCGTCTTCGGTCTCTTCCCATTCTCTGCAGAGAAAAATTGAAAAGAGGGAAACTCTGTTCGGCCTTCGTATTGGAAGTGGCTAGCTCAGTCGGCGTTGTTAATTGAAATGTATCACCCTATTACATATTAATATTGGTTGATTTTTATAATAATTGTTTTAAGATTCATGATTAAATTTTTTTGGGTACCTAGATTCATGATTAAATTGTTGATTAATTATGATAAAAAAAAATAGTTGATTTGTTAATAATCTATTTATATATAATAGGTGAAATTATACTTTGTCTTTTATTTTAATTTTAGATTTATTTTATTTTTTGTATATCTTACATTTAAATTAATTTAATATTTTTAAAATAATGATTATTTTTTAATTTTTAGATATAATTTTGAATTTTTTTATTAATTCAAAACTTGAAACTCACATATTAGATTTACTTATATGAAAAATATTGAATGCAACTCAAGTTTAAAACAAGAAATATTATAAATATGATAAGAATCATATAAAAATAACCTCAAAAAGTAATAAAAAAGAATTATAAAATATAATTTCATAATATTTTATAGTTACACATGAAATGTGTTTTCACATTATTTTTATTTTGTTTTCACAATATTTTTGTTTATAACCCTTTTAAATTTAAATACTAATTAAATTTCATAGTTTTCATATAAATTTTGTCTTAAATTAATTGAAAATTATTTCAAAATTGTGTCATAAAATTAAAATGATCTATAACATTATAATTTGTGATAGTATTGTATTACTCTTAGTTATATATGTTGCTAAGTTAAGATGTCTGTGTTGAGAAACTCGTGGATTTGAGGATCTCTCTAAAGTTTTAGTGGTGTTGAAAGGGAGTTCTTGGTAGACACCCAGTTTAACCTTAAAGGGGAGAGTATATAAGGTTTCTGTTTTGAGTAAAGCTTCATAAACTCTTTCACTCAACTTTCTAGAGAGATAAT